CTCAAAGGAAGATATATATATAAATGTCCATTAAACACGTGAAAACATCCTCAACATCATTTGGCATCAGGGAAATGCATTACAAAACCACACAGAGGTATCATCTCACCCCAGTCGTCCTGGCTACTGACAAAAGGACAGAAATTAGCAGTTGCTGGTGAGGATACAGAGAAAGCAGAACCCTCCCACACTGTTGCTGTGTCTGTAAATCAGTGCAGCCATTATGTAAGATGGTATGGAGATTCCTCAGATAACTATAAATAGAACTGCCATGTAATCCAGGAATTCTACTCCTGGGTATATATCCAAAGGAATGAAAATCATCATGTGAAAGGGATACCTGCACTTCCATGTTTATTCCAGTTCTGTTTACAACAGCCAAGAGTTGAAACTAACTTAAATGTCCATCGTGAGATACTTTTATAAGAAAGTGTGTTTTTTTGTACAGTGGAATACTACTCTGCCATAACAAAGAATGAAATACTCCCATTTGCAACTACATGGATGAGGCTGGAGAAACTTATGTCGAGTGAAATAAGCAAAGCACAGAAGGATAAATGCCACATGTCTTCACTCATAAGTGGGAGCTAAGAGAGAAAGAAGGAAGGAAAGAAAGACCACAGTGGTGTGTTGTACTTGCAGAGGGAGAGAGCACACCAAGGAATACAAAGTGGAGTGGGGGGAAGAGGGGAGAGGTAGGGTGCTTGTGGAGAATTGGGTGGGGGATATGGGGTACAAACACAATTTGTGGTGATGGGTATGCTGCCAGTATCAATCTGGCCCTCACATCTTGGGCACAAAGGGTGACAATCAGCTTTGTATCTCATGAATATTCATAACCAATAGTACTATATATATATAAAGGCTCCTTAAGGAGGTGCCTGAGCAATCATGGATCTTTATTCTCAGATTGAGGAACTCTGCTGTAGACTGACTGGACTTGTGCTTCCTTTCTCATAATTTTTTTCATTCTTGTAAAATAATGGAGTCATCATATTGTACTGTAGAATCTAAGAGAATGGAAGGGCACGAGTAGATCTGAGTAGCACAAGAGGTGGACTTTGTTAGATACAAACCTTATACTACCTCATTCTTTTTAGTAATACCACCCAAATCTCAAACCCTGCTGCCTCTTTCCAAGTCTCTGGTCTCATTTATATTAAGCCTATGTGTCAATTCTTCTCACACAAAATTGCCCTCATCTTCTGGACTCAGTAATTGCCATATCGTGGAACATTTTTCTGGTCTTCCTGCATGACCTATCTATCTATCTATCTAGAAGTTCCAGGGAGTCAAGTCCCCATGGGGTGTAATTTCTCCTTCCAGAGGAGTCCCACATGTTCTGGCTCTTCCGTGCATGTGAACAATGACACTTGCAGTAATGTATTTCATTGAATTGCTTTGCATTTATCTTAGTCTCAGTTCCCTTTATTCCTCTTTCCAACCTCCCTGGAGTTTTATCTACCTAATAAAATATCAAGACATAAATTCTTTTTTTTGTAGCACCTTCTAACAATTGGCTTGACTTCTTTCATCATCATCATGTTACTTAATCATCTTTTTTCTTTGTTTTGTTTTCTCATAATTATTGAGATCTTACAAACTACTCAGTAAGGTGTGTTGGACACAGTCCTATTTGAATTAATTTGCAGTGTCGACTGTGATGAGAAAAAAAAGGAGGACATTGGTCTAAGAATGTACAGGATCTATAAGATATCAAGACATAAATTCTTGCCTTAAGCTCTACTTTCTAGAAGATCCATGTGAAGACAGTAATGGGAGAAGAAACTCATAAATGTTCCTTCTGGACAAGTTGCAGAAACAAGGATTCTGATTCCACCCACATTTCTTTCCCAGCTGTGACTAGACAGATAGATAAATAGAGATGGTAGATAGACAGACAGATAGATGTAGATGGATAGAAAGATTATATAGATAAAATAATTTGCCTTTTTTTCTTCTCTATGAATACCTGTTATTGAATACTTGCCATGAATACAATTAATCTATATGTTAAGTTTCTTCTTGTTGAGGATGGGATTGATGTTCTTAGTTTGGGTGACAAATAACTGCAGTACATTATAAGGCATGTGCAAGCATTGGAAGAAAGGACATATTAATTTTGGCTGTGTCTCTGGCTGTGCAGCCTCCCTTGTTCCTGTCCATTTCAGGGTCCATTTTTCTAGCCCTCCCATTGTACTATGAACCACTTAAATTCATTCCAATATGTTTTTTTTTCAATATTAATACCTGAAGTATTTATTTAGTTTGCATTTAAGAGCCCTGAGTGTTGAATCACTGGATCTCCAGATTCCCTTCCAATACTGACATTCATTCAATTGGTTCAGAGGCAGCCATAGTCTATCCCCTTCCACTACAGATGGCATCTCTTCGGAGTCATAATCACTAGTGGAGGAATTCAACTCAATTCTCTAAGTATTTACTAAGTGTTCCCCTCTACTAGGCACTACAGAGGAAACAGAGAAAGAACTCTCAAAATGTTTACCATCTCATTGGGAAGATAAGATACACACAGCAAACAATTCACGTGTTATGAAAAGCAATTATCAATGAAGTTACAGATAGAAAATCGCAAGTAGGAAAAAGCACCTGGAGACAAAACAAAGGCAATAAGGAGAGCTGCCCATCTATTCCCCGATTGCCTCATCAAGACTGGGATGTGAAAATTACTGTTCATCTTGAGGAAAACACTTCGGAGATATTATCCCAAAGGACATAGAAAGAGCTAAATGTCTCATGTGAGCCCAGCTCCATGACTCTATTAACTCTGGTGATTAGGGGAAGAGTCCAGCTCTAAAAAGTATGTAAGAGCTGCTCTCAGTTCCCTCCTGCTACCCTGTTAAGGAAAACCACTCTGTCTAGATTCCAGTAGCTTTCCGAGATTTTACCATCATTCAGAGGTGAGCCTTTTCAGAATTTAGTACTGGTCTTAGCCAGGTAGGCAGCCACCTCGGGGACTCAAGAACAATCTGTGCAGGACTGCTGGTGGGTGGGAGAGGCAGAACAGGAAGGCAAGATTAGAGACTGTCACTCAGAAACATACAATTCCCCTTGCTCATCAAGCCCCAACCAGCCCACGGCTTGGTAACCACAGAACCCCCATACAGCCGGTCTGTACTGTAGGTAGAGGTGCCCGCCAGTTCTTTACTCATTTAGTTTTACCATGGAGTCTCCCATTTGCATGCATGTCCCCCCTTGTTCTGATTTGTAAGCCAGGTTCTCAGGAGCAGAGACCTCAGACCTTCTGCTTCAGTTTCCACCGCCCTTCAGTTTTCCAGAATCCCCGAGGTGGAGATGTACTGTTTTCTGGCCTCCTCATAAAAAGAAAACCTTTGAAAGACAAATGATTTTGGAGAAAGGCAGAAGAGAGAAGGCAAAACAGTGAGAGGGAGAACATATTAAGGATTAGAAAAACAGGGAACAACAAACACCTCCTGGCTCCCAAGCTGATGTCCTTTCCAATAAGTCACGAGAAAACTGTATTTGGTCCAATCTCCCTTCCCTGTTCCTGGCGACACCTCGTGCGGTCTCTATCGATTCTTGGTCACTTATGGTTTTAAAAGTAAGTTTTATTTTGGTACTGAAGACCCACTGCCAAGTATTAAAGAGCCAAGCCCAGCCAAGTCCAACCTAATTTAAAACTTCAATTTCACATTCAATTCAAAGCATGCGTCCTCCCTCCCAAGCTCAGTTCTTGGAGATGTGCAGCAGGAAGGCAGGGGCACCTGTTCTTCCCTCGTTCTTTAACCTCTCCTACCCCAATCACATTGTTGTTGTTTTGTTTTGTGGGGGGGTTTTTTCTCTTCAGTTTCATAGGGTCAGGGAAGAAAAATGTTGGATAGAAAAAGGGCGAAAATGTTCACGGCTGTTACCATAGCACACCAGCAGTTGGTGCCTTATGTGTGGCAGGCATGCTTCCTCTGAGACCATTTTTGGGTTCTTCAGAGGCCCCCTTTCAGGGATGGCTCAACCATGCAGTTCCCTGACTAGGGCAATGAATTTTCTCCCTGATCTCTTTAAGACAGTTTTTCATCAGAGAGCCACCCCACGGCATCTTACTGCTACAGCCTCCTCTACCCCAGCAGACTGCTGCTTTGTTGGAATCCCAACAGAGTGACTTGAACCCAAAGGCCTCCTGCAGTGTTCACTTGGCCTATAGGAAATTCACATATTCATGTGGAGCCATAGGTGAGAAAGCAAGATTGCCCAATGACCACCCCTGTTTCCCCCACCTCTGCCATGGTGGGGCTGGTCCAGTGAGCCTACCACCTTTAGAAGCAAGAGGCCAACACATGTCTTATGGTTTATATGTGTCTCCTAAATGTTCTTGGTTCACCTCATATCTACCACAAATGAAGTAAAATCCTAGTTATCTCTTCCTGCACTCATTCTCCAAGGGCAGTACTTTTAGGGTAACTTTACTGGGAAGGAGCATCCACTCATCACACTCTCATAAAAATTCCTAACCATTGTTTTTCTTTCTCCAAACTCTTCACTTTGATGGCCTTTCAAGTTTCCATCTTCTTAGATGGTTTAAAGGATGAAGGTGAACGATGGAAAAGGTTTGGGGACCAGTTCGCTCATTTTTAAGTTATTCTTGCAGGGGTACCTAGCATTTTTAGAATATAGACCTTATCTATGGTTCTCAGTTTGGGGGATTTAAACTAAATTTGGAGCCAACTGGAAAAATCAAATTCAAAACTCAGTCAGAGTTTAAAGCATGCTCATTGAGAGGTATCTATCACATCCCTGTCTTTTTTTCTTTTCTTTTTTTTTTTTTTTTGGGCATTTTCTAAGTCTCTGCACTACTGAGATAGTTTCTTATTAAGTAGCCTTTCTAGTTAGAAAGTAGAAGGAACTTCATTCCCCTTCAGCCTAGAGGAAGTGCCCCCTGCAATGGCTGCAGCTTAATGGTGCCATATTAGGTTTTCTGACGAGGGTGTGAAGACCTTGTGTTCTTTCTGCAGATCAGCAGAAACATGCACCAAGGAAACGAAACCATCATTTCTAAATTCATCCTATTAGGACTCTCCAACCAGGCTGAGCAGCAGAAACTCTTCTTTGTGCTTTTCCTGGGTATGTACCTTGTCACTGTGGTTGGGAATGGGCTCATCATTCTAGCCATTGGCTTGGATACTTACCTTCACACTCCCATGTATCTCTTCCTTGCCAACCTTTCCTTTGCCGATATTTCCTCCATTTCCACCTCAATCCCCAAAATGCTGATAAATATTCAGACCAACAGTCAATCCATCTCCTATGAGAGCTGCATCGCACAGATGTATTTTTCTATTGTGTTTGTTGTCATCGACAATTTCCTCTTGGGGGTCATGGCCTATGATCGCTTTGTGGCTATCTGCCACCCTCTGAACTATGCGTCCATCATGCAGCCCAGGCTCTGCATCCTGCTCACAGTGATCCCATGGGTCTTCAGTAATATGGTGGCTCTGACACACACCCTTCTGCTCATTCGATTGCTCTTCTGTGACAGCAACACTCTCCCACACTTCTTCTGCGACCTGGCTCCTCTGCTCAAACTATCCTGCTCAGACACCATGATCAATGAGCTCGTATTATTTATTTTGGGCTTATTGGTAATCACATTTCCCTTCTCCCTCACCCCCTTCTCCTATGTCTGCATCGTCAAAGCTGTCCTGAGAATCTCATCCACAGAGGGAAAGTGGAAAGCTTTCTCCACCTGTGGCTCACACCTGACGGTTGTGCTGCTCTTCTACGGGACCATTGTAGGGGTTTACTTCTTCCCCTCATCCACTCACACTGACCACAGAGATAAGATTGGTGCAGTACTATTCACCGTGGTGACACCCATGATGAACCCCTTCATCTATACCCTGAGGAACAAGGACATGAAAGGTGCCCTGAGAAAGCTCATCAATAGGAAATGTTCTTTTCTTTGATGTCCAGGGCATCTGAATTCCTTTAATCCCGATAATCAAATGGATGATTCAACCTAGAGTTTGTGACACAGTTGTGATGGTTCAGCTTTTGATTAACTTTCAGATATCTGCTTCCAATTCCAACCTCTAAGGGCTTGGGGCTTTTTCATATAGCCCTGGTCTAGGAAAGAAAACCCCTAACTCCCAAAGCAAGTCACAACGATAACACAATCTTAATTACAATCTACATTACTACAAATTTTGGTGCAAATTGCTTATAACTTAGACAATAACAAGTGCATGTAGTGTCTACAGTCTAGTTTGTGCAGCTTTGAAGACAGTTATTACTGATTCCTTTATTTGATCTATATTTCTCTAGGTCAGATATTCTGAAAGTTTGTTTTGTCAAGGTACTATTCAATGAGACATTTAATAGCTGTAAAAATGGAGGTTCCCATGTTCAAATAATTTTGGGCAACTCTGAGTTAAATGAAGCCAAATATATTAAGTAGACAACTTCTCAGAGCCTTTAGTATAGTGGAAATCTTTGACAGGGTAATATGGTATGCAGCAATTAGACTTATTCTACCATGCAAAACCTGTTCCAACCTCTAAGGGCTTGGGGCTTTTTCATATAGCCGTGGTCCAGGAAAGAAAACCCCTAACTCCCAAAGCAAGTCACAACGATAACACAATCTTAATTACAATCTACATTACTACAAATTTTGGTGCAAATTGTTTATAACTTAGACAATAACAAGTGCATGTAGTGTCTACAGTCTAGTTTGTGCAGCTTTGAAGACAGTTATTACTAATTCCTTTATTTGATCTATATTTCTCTAGGTCAGATATTCTGAAAGTTTGTTTTGTCAAGGTACTATTCAATGAGACATTTAATAGCTGTAAAAATGGAGGTTCCCATGTTCAAATAATTTTGGGCAACTCTGAGTTAAATGAAGCCAAATATATTAAGTAGATTGAGCCAAATATATTAAGTAGAGCCTTTAGTATAGCGGAAATCTTTGAGAGGGTAATATGGTATGCGGCAATTAGACTTATTCTACTATACGGAACCTGATTTATTAGAGTGGTTCATGGGACTAGTGTTGTACAGAATAAATTTGAGAAATATGGCTCCAGGTAACTTCAATTATTTCAATAGAAAACCGCAGAGCATGTGTGTAGAAGATATGTTGCAGTCTTGACTCTGTCTCAAAATTATTATGAAGGCTTTTGCATGTCAGCTCATCTTCTTGAACCTATTTTCTCATGTACAAAAAGAGGCCATTGGTCTAGAACAGTTGTTTCCAACTGAGGGTGTACATCAGAATGATCTGGGGTAACTTTTTCAAAATTCACATCTTCACACCCTGAAAGGGCTTTTCTGCTTGACCAGCTGTAGTGGTCTTAGGTTCAGATGGGCAAAGTCATGAAATCACCCAGAGTCAATTTTATTGAGCATGCAGAGTGACACAGTACAGTGGAGGTCTCATGACTCCCAGGCATGCCTTCTAAATATCCCACATTCCACACTTGGGATGTGCATGGTCAAGAGAGAGCACTGAGCGGATGTGGGCCACCTCAGTGAGGAAAACTTCAGCTCTGAGTTTCCACAGGCATTGCGTCTTGACAATCACATAGCCCCCTCCAGGTGTGTGACTAGCACCCCTTTTCTGGTACAGCTGCATCTCAACAAATATAGGTTACTCATCAATTACGGAGATTAGTTGCAAGGGGGATTTGACCAAGGTTCAATCCCCCAAGCTTTCCTGAAGCTAAAAAAAGGCTATAAACCAGATTTTACTGCTTGCCTCCCAAATCCTAGCCGGAATCTACCAACCCAGCCTCTCCAGTGAGGGAATCAGTCACAAGTAGTTTGAAAATGCCCTTCAGGAGACCCTGATGTGCTAAAGAATCAGTGAACCACATGAGTTCTGGGATTTTGTGAATATTGGTGTCTTCCAGCTGAGGAAGATGTCTTTCAGACATCCATCTTTAAAATACTCTGTAGCTACCCCAAAGAGGGTTCTTTTCTTCTGTCCAAATTCTCTTTTTAGTTATTTACAGCTCTGGAGCAAGCTATACAAATTGTTTATTCTAATTTCTCTTATATCTGTAGTCTAGTGTAAAGAAAAGATCTGATTCTAAATCCTGGCTTTTCAGCAAGGTTATCCACCTGTGTGATCTAAGGAAAATTATTAATATTGAAGCTCATCCTTCTCATCTGTAAAATGGGAATAATAATACCAGCCTCCCAAAGCTATTAGTGGCTAAATGGATATGTATACTAAACAACTATGGTAGTGCCTAGCAGTAGACAGTCAAAATAAAATGTTCCTTTTTTCTTTTAACTACCCCCATTCTTTTTCTGGCCTTCAACTTTAACCCACCTGACCTACCAAACTAAGTATTTTTCTCCAGTCTAAGCTGATGTTCATTCTTCTCTGAACTTAGAATCATCTAACCCCTTTAAGAGAATATATACAATCAGCCACCTGCATTTCTCCATGGTATCTCTTAAACTTTAATGCTTCATTTGAGTTTTCATTATGAATGTAAAACCCATCTTTTTTATACTGGTTACTGAACAAGCCTCTTAACAGTCCTGCCTTCCTCAAGTACCTCCACATCTGCCCTGTTCCACCCACAGCTCCAACACGGAACATCACAGAGATCTGCTTTCTTTATTTCACATGCAGTGGTAGAAAGAGCCCCAGATTTGTACTCAGCAGACTTGGGTTCTGGCCCAACTCTGCAGCTAACTCACTGTATGATGAGCCACATTACTAACCTCAGTTTTTCTCCATAATATAGAAAATATTCTAATATGAACAAAGGTTTTACAATAGCATGGATCATTAAAAAATTAATGTAGAACAGAATATGCAGAAGGAGATGCCTGAGAGAAGAGTCAACAAAATATTAACAGTGCTTGTGGAAGATTGTATTTCCCAAAAATGGCCACAATGTTATCCAGCCCACATGTTCTTGACGAACCTTGCCACTTCCCCATCAAGAGGTGGAGTCTACGCCCATCTTCCTTGAACCTGGAGGGCTTTGGAGGCTGCTTTGACTAATATAGTATCTCAGAAGTGTTGTTGCCATGATTTCTGAGACTGTCTTAAAAGAACAAATACAGCTTTGTTATGGACTGAAAGTTTGTGTCCCACAAAAGTCATATGATGAAATCCTAACCCCCAATGTGATGGTAGTAGGAAGTGGGACCTTTGGGGAGTGATTAGGTCATGAGAATGGAGCTCTCATGAATCATTCGTGCCCCTGTAAAAGAGGCCCCAGAGAGCTCTCTAACTCTTTCTGCCATGTGAGGATGCAACAAGAAATTGGCAATCTGCAACCCAGAAGAGGGCCCTCATGCGAACCCAACCATGCTGTCTGACACTCTGATAATAGATTTCAAGCCTCCAAAACTGGGAGAAATCATTGTTTGTTGTTTAAGCTATCCAGTCTATGGTAATTTGTTATAGCATCCCAAACAGACTAAGACAAGCTTCCACCTGGAGCTCTCTCTTGGGACATGCACCTCTGGAACCCTGAGTTGCCATCTAAGAAGTCCCACTACCCTGAAGCCACCATGCTGGGGAGACCACATGGAGAAACCACACAGAATTAGAGGGAGACATCCAGAGAGCCCCAGCTGTTCCAGCCCATGCCTCTTTGAGTCTCTCCAACCAGTCACCCAACATGTGAGTAAGCCTCCAGCCCTGATGGCAAGCACATGAGACCCCAGGTGAAAACTGCCTAGCCAAGCCCAGAAACTAACAAACAGCCACAAAATTATTGTTAGTAAGCCCATATAATGTGGAGTATATAACCAGAACAGTGGCTCTGTTTGAGTCATGGGATAGCATGATTCATGTTGCATCCTGTATGGCTTTAACATTTTACAATGACTGCAATTTTAGGGAGAAAAAGAAAGCTTTTTTTTTTCAGTTTTAAGGCAAATAAACTATCTTACCTATTAAACCATCGTGCTTAACATGGTACCAGGATCTTCTCGGTATATAAACATCAATTGGGTGGATCTGTAATTTACCCCACCCCTTGTTCTGATTACATCTAGCCCACATTTGATAGGGTAGGAACCATCAGGGTTAGACCCAGGCCATTTGGTTTAACTTAGTCTCCATCACTGTGGGCTTATCCTGGCCCTCTATTACCTCTGGCTTGTAGGTTCCACAGGAGGCTGAAAGGTAGAGCTAATCTGCAGTGAGTAACGGGAAGGTTTATTTGGCCAGAAATAGACTTGTATGCAAATTGGGAGTTTGCCTGAGAAGGTGAATTAGGATTAGGGTTGTTACACAGAAGACAACTGATTCAGAAAATAGAGTCACAAAACTTTTGTAAAGATCTTGACAAGTATTCACAGTGCAAATGCATAAATCTATACCTAGATGCTTGTATTTCCCTGAATCATTCTCCAGTTTGTCATTTTCAACTAACATGTATTGAGAACTTTCTATTTACCAAGCTTTGAGTCTGGCCCTGAGACTGAAAGAATGAATAATTAACAGTCCGTGACCTCAATGTGCTTTCAAACTAAAAAAAGAAAATGACTTAAAAATAATTTTACGTGATGTTCAAGACGTGATAAACAAAGAAAATATTTGGTCAACAACTAATGTCATTAGATTAAGAAAGCGTAAAGATTTTGTACAAAGCACAGTCAACTGAATTGTATTCTATTCTTGTTCTTTTGTACCTAAGAAAAGTCCATTTGTGGTTTTCTGAATAAGTTAACAGAAGCAGCTGCCATCTAATTGTAGCTAGCACTTTTGCAAGAAGAGTGACTAGAAAGGACAAAAACATCTGTACATCAGGTAGGAATAACTTGTAAAACCTAATGTATAAAGTACAAGCAAATATTTACTTGCTTATTCACTAAAGAAAAAATTTTTGAGTACATAGTGAGAGTCAAAGAAGATAAAGTGGTGTCATTGCTTTCTTGGCTCTTACTTCATAGTGCATGAGATGGACAATGAACATATAAATAAATAGATTGA